AAACACTCCATTCTTCGGCGTTCTCCGTTCCGATAATTTATTGAGGCCTCGGCAGGTTGCATTCCTTAGAGTAGTGACCCAGTTCGTTGCATCTGTTGCAACGGCCTTGTCCTCTTGGGCAAGTTTCGCGGCTGCACCCAATGTGTCCAAAGCAACCACAGACCACCTCACCCTCGGTGGTACGCGTGTCTGATCCAAGGCGGATACGTAGAGACCCAGGTGTTGAACCCGAGGCGTTCCCGTTCGCAATTGGAACGCCGGCTCGGGGAGAAGTCGGAGGAGCCACTGCACTGACGTGCCCTCTTGGCGTTCGTGGCCCTAACTGTCGCGTTCTCATCAGCTGATTCATCTGGCGTAGCTCCTGGAGCACTTGAGACTCCGTCGATACCGCTCGATTCGTCCTCGGTTGTCCCGTCACCTCGCCAGCGAACTCGTCTTCTTCCTCGACAGGGAGATGCAAGTTCTTGTACAGCAGTAGCGCGCACGCTTCGGGAAATCGACGTGACCATGCTGGCGTTCAACACCGCCTTCATCTGCTTATTCCACAGGCCATCCAAGAAGAACTCGTACCTCATACGAGGTTCGTGGTAGTTCAAGGCTTCACACATAGTCGAAATCCGGTCGCCCCACTCCTCGACAGACTTGCCACGCTTCCTTTTGGCAGCCTTGAGTCGGCTCCACAGCTGTGCAGGAGTCTGGCAGATAAATCGGTTACCGTCCGAGCCTTAAATCTATCGATCCTGGCGTTGTACCACCACACTTGACCTATCTTGCCCTTTAGGCACTGCTAGAACGCCGTCAACCTCATCTGGACGTCCATAGCGTGCGCTTTTCGGAGAAACACCAAAATGCCGCCGCCTTTCACTCGTAGCGGTGTTGGAATAAAATGGAACGATCCCTTTCACCGCGTTCCGCAACTCAGTTGGGATGCCCACTATCGGCGCATAATTACCACCGTGGTCGTGCGTCCGATTCACTACAGGCCCTTGAGGGTGCGCCGAAGGCGTTTGGTAACTTCGTCCTTGACCACTGAAGCTCCTACCAATTCCAAGGCCTCCCATGCTCGCAGACGGCTCAGTTGCGGGAGCTGCCGACCACGCTGGCAGCATTCCTTGCCTTCTAGGCATGCCACTTTCCTAAAACAACATCCAGCTACACTATGGCGTTGAACTACACGCGGAGATGGGTGCCTCGTCGCCCCTCTAGCGTCGAATGCAGCACTGGCTGACGTGACTGTCAGTGTCTCGCCTCGCGTCTCACTCACAAGTGGTAACGACGGCCTCGACGCATCGAAGGAGAACGCGTCTCCTTGCAGCGCTCTCGGAGTCGACATCGCGGCTTCCGCGATCTCACCATCCGTCGTCCTCGCCGGAGGCGGCTCTTCGCCCGGCGCTGGTTGTCGTACCATCCGCGCGAGGAGCTGGTCGAACATCTCTCGTCCCTGGGGCGTGTCCAACACCGACTGGGCCATCCTTCTCGCTCTTGGAGACAGAGGTTCAGATCCGAGCGTCCCCTCTTTGTCCCTTCGAGTCTCGCGACTCTCGGTCTGGGTTTCAGTTCTCCTTGGTGTTCCGCGTTCCGAGCCAACGTTCGAACCGCCCCCAGTCGGAGTCCTATTGCGCACGTCACTCCCGACGGACCCTCCTGCGTGCTCTTTGTTTTCATCTTCGCGGATCTCAGCAGGAGGTGGCGTTTCCGTCTCAAGCGGGGGAGCCCATTTACCGAACCCCTCACTCGCTTCCTCACCTAGTCCCTCTCCGGACCACCCCCGAGAGCTCATGGCTCGCTCTCGCTAACCTTTTCCCTCGCCTTGGCGTTCCGTTGCCAAGGAACTTCGAATTACTCTCTCTGCGTTTTCATTCCCACCATAATCCAGCGACAAGATACCATTCTTCTCCACCACACTATCGAGGTCCACCTCCTTAGTGTCGGGGTCGTGTTCACAAATCTCTTCTCAGGTGGTGGTATTCGACGAAGTACCTCCACATTCCCTTCACCCCAGTCCCGCTCTTAGACATGGAACGCCGACGTCTGCTCCTCTTGCCCTTGCTTGTAGGATGTAGTCCGTTGACCCTGTAGTGAGCAGACCTTCTGGATGTAATCCGCGAGGATAGCGAATCATCCATCTAGCTGTAGACCGTGGCACTTGATGAAGTGTTGTTACCAAAATTTGCTGCACTAACACTGCTAGTCGTTAACGCATCTAGCCCAATGATGATTCCATCATGAAAGATTAATTCGCCGGATACCCCAAGTGCAATTCCGCTTGATGTAGTATTAAGCAGATAAATATCATCCCTAATACTGACCGCTAACTCACTAGTACTATTAGATAACATGTATATACCATATCCAATTGTGTATAACACGAAAACACTATAAATGGAGTCAGGAGCACGACCAAGCCGATCTTAGTAGTCCAACCGTAACGAAGCGAAGTGACATGAGGTTGAGACGAGGTCATCAATGTTCCAGTGATTTGCTGGAGAGACAAACTTGATAGACGGAATATGGTCCCGTTTCATATTAACGTTAGAGGATAACTTCACGTGCGGCTGGCTAGTGCTAATGAGTAAACCATCATAGTCGAAGGGATTAGAAACAGTTGTATCATTGTCACTTTCAATGCAACTTTTGAACAAGTGAAGAAGTGTTAATATCAAGTGGTGCAGATATGTTGCTAACACCTATGCCGATGCCACCAGTTGTTAAAATACCATACAACTTGTCAGCGGTCAATGAACTGGCAGTCGTGATAACTCTTATAACGCTTACCGACGTTAAAGTACCAAGCGTCTTAATATTCGTTGATTCAATGTTATCAATACACCTACTATTGCCGACGCTGATATAGTACCAGCCGCGATACCGTTCGTCACAGCTAACGAGACAAGTGTTCCGACAGTGGTTATGTTTGGCTGAGCTGAGGTAGTTAGCGTACAAGAAATGGTGGAGGTAGTGTGTGCATTCGTGGAACCAGGAAAAGAGAGATACTGGAGTACACCTATCGAAGTAATGTTCGGCTGAGCGGCGGTAGTTAAAGTGCCGCCGACAGTGGACACAGATAGTTACATCGCTGGTAGTGCTCAGTGACGGAGGAGTTCCTACTGCTATTATGTTCGGTTGGCATAGTGTCGTGAGTGTGCCTGATAAGGTCGTAGCAGCCATGCTATCGAGACCAATAATAGAACAAGGGGCACTAACGATTCATATTCTTGTTAATCGGAACCAGAATACTGTTCTGTGAATTAAGCATGTATTACCGTTACTGTCCATAGTGATCTTTACGAACCCGTTGTTGAATCTCTGAGTTGTATCCCTAATCTCGAGAGTTTGGGATTGAAATATTGTCCCAATATCAAGCTGACTCACCACATTTAGAGAACTCAACGTTCCAACTGAGTTAATGTTAAGGCTGGTAGATGTTTGCATCACACCGACTAGCTTTACTGCTGATAACGTATTGAGTCCAACGATATTTTTTGATGAATCCACCCCTACTAACTTGCTTTGGTTAAGTGTATCCGGTACTGACCGTTGACGTAGATTAAGCTTCAATGCATAGTCATACCCTTTAACCCTTTCGTGCACGGGCACTTTTGACCTGGCTATATTATAGTTTAGAAGGTCAAGTCATTAGGCCCACTAAAGGGGGCATTTTGCCCCCTTTCACAAACTATTGTACTACAACAAATCTTCTACAAATCCATGTAGTTCAAGTGGAAAGGGCGATTCTGCTTCGTCCACATATAAAAAATAATGAAAGGGGTATTTTGCCCCCTTTCGTGGGTGACACGAGTGGCACTCAAGTATACACCCTCCAAAGAGGGGCAAATGCCCCCATTGACCACGAAAGGGTTAACTTTAATGTGAAAATAATTGCGGTATTCGTATGATTGATATTTGACTGAATGGCGGTGAGGATCATTGAAAAAAAAAAAACAGTTGAAATGCGACATTCAAGTGTCGGCTATAGGAAAACCGATCAGTTTTACGAAAAAATATTGAATCTGCCAGGAATTTCCATAACTCAGTAATAGTGAAATGGTTTTTTTTTTTAGGGAAATAGCCGTAAAATCAGCAGTACTGTTGTCAGCACACGTTAAGTTCGTTATACTGTAAATTGCGAACTTAACCTATTTAGTGATACTGACTTACTATGCGTTGCTGCGGCGTGTAGATAGCTTCTTCCTGCGTCTCCCCCTTGTAGGTTGGCACACCACACAGAGTCGATGTTCTCCAACTCAAAGTCAACTCTGATCTTCCATGGAAGGATTTTAGCAGGTTCCCAGGTTAGTTCACGATAGCCGACCCACTGTACTAAAGCAAACTCTAAATTGTGTACCCAGCGCTTCACATCGAGACGCTCTACGTCGTACATTTCTTGTTCTCTTCCGCGTCTTGCTTAAGTTGAAGCGAACAACCCCATACCTCTCTGGTTAGTCGCAGTACTGGCCAGAGCATCTTCGGTACTGGGAGGGCGATACGGTAGATTTCGATTTAGCTTGAGCCTGTAGAAGGAGTCGTCAGCCTTTCGTTTAAAGCTTCGAGCGAGCTTTTTGCACTTGTTAGGTGGAGGCATCTTGCGAAAACGAAAGTTCTGCGAGATGCAAGCAGTCCTTATGCATATATAGGATTGCAGATGATAATACCAATGTTCTGTATCCGATGGCACAGGATGCACACAACTATGGCACGTTATACCAATATGAGCTTCTGATTGGTTGAAACTGAGGTGGTAACAGGGAGTAGTTGCACGATTTGTCTGTATTACGATCGAGTAACGAAAGTTTGTGGCTCAAGTTCTACGAGCATGCATGCTATACTCCAGTTTCTGTCCTCTTATCCAAACGGTCACAAGGTGAGGAGGCAGAGCGACTTGGTTTACTTGATACATTCTCTGTTCGAGAATCAACCGTATCATAGCTGGATGTGGATAGTTCGTAGTGCGTGTATTAAAGTTTGCGTTATATGTGCCACGCAATCATAGACTGCATATGGCTGTCGCTTGGACGACAGAGACCAGCCGTTCCTCTTAGAATCTACCGTAGAAAGATCGTAGCATCGCTGATGCCATGATCGATCTCGATCATTCCAGTTAGAGAACAACGCCTTTCAAATTTATATATTATAGAGACCAATAGAAGCTGTAAGTGTAATTGGCATGCATGTTAGAGGATATTGAGGCGGATAAGTCAGCACGCATTAACTAAAATGTATGCTTTTCATATTTAAAAGTTATTGTTAACTGGGACGATCAATACCGTAACCTTGGGATGCACCCGTTCACATCTCATTGTGTATCTCGACCCTAGGACAAGGTGCTTCGCTGCAGCAACTGCACCTGATTCGTGTACCTATTGATACAATAATCAACTATTTGCACGAGATCGAATCGTATGCCTAGTTTTGACAAGCACGGTAGCAACCATGGTATGCATTTGCATTTCGTATGTTCGTCAATACTAGGCTAACTATCCAATAGATAACAGTCGCAAAAAGTTTATTTTTGCGTTTGATGTATCGTTTAGTGTTACGAATTTACGTATTACGAACTATCCACATCCAGCTATGATACGGTTGATTCTCGAACAGAGAATGTATCAAGTAAACCAAGTCGCTCTGCCTCCTCACCTTGTGACCGTTTGGATAAGAGGACAGAAACTGGAGTATAGCATGCATGCTCGTAGAACTTGAGCCACAAACTTTCGTTACTCGATCGTAATACAGACAAATCGTGCAACTACTCCCTGTTACCACCTCAGTTTCAACCAATCAGAAGCTCATATTGGTATAACGTGCCAAAGTTGTGTGCATCCTGTGTCATCGATACAGCAGTCACGCACGGCCAGCTAGATTACGATGTGTTGATAGGTAATGTGACGATTGACGTTGGAGCTAATCACTCTCCTGACAGAAGGTGAGTCCGTGTACCCTTATAATGTCGCACCGGTATGGGGATTGAGCAAAAGTGTTCAATGGTCATTGCATAATCTAATCTACCTATCGTGCCTAGATAATCGTCCAAGGGGCCCCAGGTTG